GGCGTCGGACAAAGCCGCGCGTCTACGACGATGGCAACCTTCCAACAGAGCTCCCTGCATCGGTGAAAGCTATTTTGGAAGTGTCGGGTGTGGATCGCAAGACCATGGCGCGATACAATGCGTCATCGTATGAAAAGAATCAGTTTTGTCAGGTGTGCTCGAACCCCTACGACCACCAAGCCGCCAAGCCCATGGACAAGAATGTATCTTCTGATCAGGTTGACTTCAAGACCTTCTACGACTTGGTGCGTCCTTCATTTCACAAAGACTTCAATGATGAAGATCTGATTGCCGTTTTCAAGCGGTCTGCCATCGTCGTGTTCACAGACATGGGCATCTATGTTCGTCCTCCAGGCACACAGCAAGCACCAGTCAAACGGCATGCTTGGCCTTCCGATGACCTCGGCATGGTGTCGCCGTGCGCCAGGCCAATCTTCGACGCCTACAAGAAGGGTAATCTCTCCAAGCTGCCGCCCAACCACAGCGTCAACTTACAATGGTCGCTCAACTTGTTGCAAGCCGCCCTCGACGGTGAAGCGGTTGGCCGGTGTTACACAGTTATGCAAAAGGACTTCTCTGGTAAAAAAGTTGTGCGTGAGTGCCGTCCTGAGCTCGCCAACATCGACGCCACGACCGTCTTCTATCCCGACCTCTGCCAAGATGCTCCAGCTAGCCTCCCTGCCAAGCGCCTCAAATCTGTGCGGTCTTCCAATGCTCTGCTCACCAACGAGACCAGTCATGACGAGCACCACCATGACGAAGATAAACCGAAGCAGGAATCTCATGCAGTAGACCTCAATCCCCAGATGTCTGCTCCAAGCGTTTCTCGGCTGAGGCTGGTATGGTGAGGGTTTGAGGTTTTAGGTTTTTTACTATGATTGTTTTTTTTGTTTTCTCTTATGGTTGTGTGCTTTTCTTGTACTAAGGTCACCATAAAAAAAGAGCCGGAGGACGTCAAGGCAATGTTTGCAAACTTAAAAAGATCATCTGGCAACAGACCTCTGCAGATTAACATCTCAGACTCATCATCAGCTGCATCTCCGTCAAAGGCATCCCCCAAAGCATCTCCCCGACCGGTGACTGCATCTATTCTTCAAAAGTCAGATGTACAACTCGACCTTTCGCCATCTTCTGCGGCATGTGCAAAGCCCAGGTCTTCATCTCCGTGGCCTTCTCCGAAATCGAAGGTCCCATCGCCAAAGACATCTGCAACTTCTGCCGATCCGCGTGGCCCTCACATTCCAAATCCTCCACCTTCCAGTCCCGGCAGTGAGATGGACATTGCGTCGCCTATCCGCGATCCTATGGATGATCTATCACAAGAGCTCGACGCTTTGGTCGCGGAGGAACTCGCGAAGGACGACCACCAGTGAAACCCAGCATCCAGCACATCTGAGAGTCAAGAACAACATCTGAGACATCTGAGTGCTAATCTCACAGCCATCGTGCAGTCGACAACGATGTGACACTCGTATTTTGAGTATCGTGTTCTTGCACAACGGGTATCTTCATGTAACTACACGAGATTCTTGCCGTGACTATGCATGATTACATAACTGCCTTTTTGTTCAGAGAACACGTATACATACGAGTCAATCTCCGATCGCAGCCTTGCACAGACAGAAAAAATCCTTGCGAACAGTATGCACTTGAATCAACATGCTCCATTGTGCAGCACAGTCTTGTCTGACATCGTGGCTTAGTATCAAGACACGTTGCTTCCCAACAAATCTGCATTCTGCTTCTGAGTCTTGCAGCATCTCAAGAGCCAGTCCGTTTTCTTCTAGCTTTGTCCACCCATGGGAAAGGTGTGCAAGCAACCCATCATCCACAAGAAGGGCAAATTCCGTGCTGCACAGAAGAAGCCTGCCATCAAGAAGGACAAGTTGTGGAAGGACACACCGTATGTCCGAGAGCAACTCCTTGTTGGTCCACGCGGACAACGCAAGGACCAGATCAAGTGGCAACGCAGTCTTCCTCAGCTCCTCATGGCCAGCGACAAGAAGATTATCACTATGCTCGTGGCGGACAAGATTTTGCCGAAGTGGAAAGGGAAGACGTGCCCTCACTGTCAGGTTGGCATCTTGTCCGACCTATGTGTGGAAAAGCGCACCTCTTTGTACAAACATCGGTGCAGCTCCCGCCATTGCCACAAGTATGTGAGCCCTCACCACTTGCATCCGGTATTCACCCAAGGAACGGGTTCATCTTCACGGGGCCTCCAGATACAAGCATCTCTTCTGCTACTTAAACTGCTACGCGTACCACATCCAGCCATCCACGTCCTCTTGAATGTGAACCACAAGGCTATCGAAGACATGGAGACGAGGATTTGCGACCTTCGTAAAGCATTCGTGGAAAAGCAGGAGAAAAACATCGTGTTTGGCGACGGCAAAACCTGGAAAGATGTGGAAGCAGCAACTTGTCGTCTACATCATGTTGTCTGGCTTTGGTGTATTTCGAATAAAGATTGTGGAATCTCAGAGATAAAGCTTCGGAAGTAAGACATAAACAAACAATGCTCTCAGACACTCAACAAATACATGCAAGGATGAAGCTACATTCGACAGAAGGGATATTTCCCAGGATGTGGACTTCAAGCACCTCGTGAAGAACAACAAAACCACGACCATGTGGGAACAGTGGGCGGGGGTAATCCAGCGAGGCCGCCCTGAAACGCTCATACTCTCCAGGTTGAAGCCGAAACTCACTGTCAAGCGAGCACCAGGGCCAGGAGCAATCAGGCGCACCGAGTGGAAGACCCTAGGAACGAAGCTTCTCAAGGACCGCAAGGTTGTCCTCCACACGGATGCGGCCCGGTCCTACAAGGCCAAGATCGACGGTGTCATTCACGACAAGGTAGTTCATGCCAAAAAGCGCGTGAAGCGCAACGGCAAGTTCATCTGGCAGAACCCGAAGTATGTCAAGGTCGTGACCCACAAGATCCCTAAGTCCAACAAAAAGATCGTTGTGAAGTCTGGAACACAGATTATCGATCGTTGTTGGAGGTTTTTGAAGGACCGGGTCAGAGTGAACCAGCACACCAAGGCTGGTAGCAGACAGCTATGTGCCAAACTGAGGTCTGCTCAATATGAGTATTGGTACCGTAATGAGGACCAATGGCTTAAGTTTGGCGAACTGTGCGCTGATAACATGCGCAAGTTTATGAAGTAAGTCTGTCTACAATGACAACGACTCTGATCTTCGCTCGCGTGAGGCACCTTTCGAGCGACTAGCTCCCTCAGACCGCCCTTCTCTGCTGCATCTGGTGGTTCGAAAACATCGTTTCGTTCGCTTGTAACTGCTGTACTGTGCTGTAGAATCGTCGCTGCTGGTTGTCTTGCTTTAACTGTTTTTTCGCAATCCCATGAAACGATGTAAACGAAAACGTCCGTGCATTCTCCCTGCAAGTGCATCTGGTATGAGCTATGTTGTCAATCATGTGCAGGCATGCGGCACACACACACACAATCTCTCTCACACACACACATGCAGTCGTTTGTGTCACTCGCACCCAAGTGATACGGCAGCTCTGCCCTATCACTCACAGCACATGAAGACAACACGTGCGGTATATGTATGAGTTTACATACCAAAAGAGCAGTGTATACACATGCAGTCCTTTGTGTCTCAAGTGATACGGCTGCTCTGCCCTATCACTCACAACACATGAAGACAACACGTGTGGTATGTGCGTGCGTGTACGTAACCAGACCATGAAGACACGTGCGGTATATGCATGAATTTATATATCAAAAAAGTAGTTTATACACATGCAGTCCTTTGTGTCACAAGTGATACGGCTGCTCTGCCTTATCACTCGCAACACATGAAGACAACACGTGTGGTATGTGTGTGCGTGTAGGTAACGACAAATAATGTATACACATGCAGTCGTTCGTGTCACGCATGTTCAAGTGATACGGCAGCTCTGCCCTATCACTTATCTTGCATGAACACCATACTTACAAGCGTTCTTGTTCAGTCTTTTCTGGCGGTGGTGTTACACAGCGACTCAGCTGCAATTAGAAAAGGTCCTGGCTCAAGTTCTGGACCCATGGCCGGAAAAAAATTGGTTATGTAGCCGTTTGAAATGTATTTGGGTTCATTTTGATGTGGAGCAGTAATTCGGTTTTCTGGTTGAATAGCTGTACGTTGGTATCTTGTCTGATCTTCCATTGGAGAAACGCTCCCTCAGTGCCCGAAGAAGCAATCGAACCGTTAGACTGCACGAAGCTGCTGCAACTCAAGAACGCTATCGTAGGAACAGGTCGAGTCGGAGATCGTCCCTGCAAAGCAGACGCCATGGAGACTTGGTCCTTTGATGTGGTGATATGGCAGCATCTCCCGGTATGTGTCGCAGATGATATCCTCAAGTTAGTCTTGGGTGTTGTGCCCGTGAACCCAATGGTTGTACCTAAAGCTCCAGTTGAGTGGCCTCGCCGCTATGTAAATCTTCCGAACGGAATCCTGGTCGCGGTTAGTATATCGTAGTACTGTAAGCAGAAACATCACTGCTGAGCTCAAAGTCTTGGTCTTGCATAAGGAACAGTGGTTTGGCGCTGCAAGGGCAACTGCTTCACGTACGACGACGATGACGATGAACGACGTCTCACACAGTTGGAGTACGCCTTGCTCCTAGACGAACTCGCCAAGCGAGCTCACTGACGGGGCATCCTCGCGCAAAAACAAGCGGCCATGGGATCGGAACTAAAGTTATTTTTGTTGGTGTGTAGGGTGTCTTCGTACTTTGTTTTGAAAACCTCCCGCCCAGCTCAGGTGATGCCGCGGCGAGTGGAGTCTGTGGCTTTGGGGTTGGGGTCGGTTAGAGGTTTGGGTTGGATAACATTTTAATAGGACACAGTAGAGCACAAACAGTCAAAGCGCGGATTCGGGAGGGGGGGGGTAGCATATATATATATATATATTTCGGTCATGGACACTGAGACCCGAAGCGATCTTTTGCACAAGATCTTTTTCTTGTGCCCGCACACACAGCTATGGCAAAGCCAAAGCGATCGGAGGCAGAGGAGCAAGAGGCTCCAGAGGAGGTTGAGGAAGAAGTGGACCCAGAAGGAGAAGAGGAAGAAGAGGACAACGACGAGGAGGTAGAGGAGGAGGAGCAGGAGGAGGAGCAGGAGGAGGAAGAGGAGACCCCAGCAGCCCAGCCCAGTAAGCCAAGACCGGGGATCCTGAAGTCGGGAGGAAAGCCAGGGGGGAACTGTTGCAAAGGCGAAAAGCACAGCAAAGGCGAAGGCGAGCCCAGCACCCAGCAAGGCACCCGCAAAGCCAAAAGCCAAGGCCGACCCTGCCAAGCCCAAAGGGCCCAAAGCAAAGGCCAAGCCGAACCCAGCACCCCCAGCACCCACAACGCCCAAGTCGAAGTGCAAACCCAAGCACCCTGTCAAGCCTAAAGCGAAGGCCAAGACAGCACCCAAAGCCAAGGCCACGGCCGACCCCAAGAAGAAGGCCAACCCCAAAGACAACCAGGCCAACCCCAAAGCGAAGGCCAACCCCAAGGCAAAGGCCGACCCCAAAGCGAAGGCCAACCCCAAAGCGAAGGCCGACCCCAAGGCAAAGGCCGACCCCAAGGCAAAGGCCGACCCGAAGGCAAAGGCCTTCACAAGGAAGCGAAGCATGGCAGAGGCCTTGACTGGCGAATGGATCAATGGGCTTGAGCCTGAGGAGTCCGGCGAGACTCCAGCAGAAGAGCCGGAGGAAGATTGCCAAGCTGGTGGGGCGGGTCGACGAGACCGCAGCAAGCAGTTCAAGTTCAACGTGTTGCTCGCAGCAGGAGCAGTGCCAGAGAAAATGAAGACGGAGTGGGAGGCTTTGAGTAACGGCGGGAACGGCTGCAGGAAGAACATGACGAAGTTTATCGAAGACGCAGTGAGTCGTGACCCCGACACAGGGAAGCTTGCCCTCACCTGCGACACCGCAGAAGTGACGGGGGAAAGCAGTCTGGAGAAGAAGCAGGCCACTGGGTGGGGAGACAAAGGATTGCCGAGAACGCTCTTTAAAGGGCGCTTTGGGTTGTCGGATGAGCAGCTAAGGGCCGCGATCTTGAATGATGAAGTCTCCGTTGTCACCCAAGGAAAGGTGGTGTTCTGTCAATGGCGAACCTTGAAGTCCACTTCGATGGACGAGCGAAAGAACGTGGCAGCGATCAAGTCCGAGGCTGCGAGAGTCTCTGGGTCCCAAGCAGGACAACTCCAAGTCCTGTTCGACAGTGTGTCGATGGAAAGGCCTGAGCCGACAGAGGAGGACCTCAGGAACGCCGCTGCCTCATCGGCTGCTCCGCCGACCGTGGCGGTGCCAACCATCAAAGCCATCGAGGACAAGAAGGAGGAGCCTGCCGTGCCAGCGGCCTTGTCAGAGGCCGACTGGTCGAAAGCGGACGGGCTCCTAAAGAAGGCTGAAAGCGCCGTCGAGAAGCTCAAGAAGGTCCTCGCGGGAGTATCATAGCAGTTCCCTGTGTCTTTCTTGGTGTTACACCGAGTTAGGGCAGGGAATTGCACGTCACAGTTCCAGGATGCAAGCAAACTGAGCGACAAGATCAAGCAGAACAAAGACGACCCCCTCCTCAACAAAATGCATCTTATCGAGAATCTATGTAACAGAGAGTATAGAGAGCCCATGCTTCATGTCACAGCCCCCACAAGGAAGGCCACCATCCAAGCTCTGACGGACAAGAAAGCTTTGCTGGAGCATGTGCGATCCTTCCAGGACCAGAGAGATGTGTACAAGTGTGCCTATATATATGCAAATGTGTGCTGCAGGACCTGCCCGATGGCACCCGCATCAACAAGGAGAATCTCCAAACGACCCTGCTCGAAGCAGGCCACACATGCTGTGTCTTTGTGGCCAGCATGGAGTTGGTCAATGGAGCAATACCTCGCATGCCTTGACCCAGAGTTTTCGAGTGAGCTTCTTCGTTATACAAAGCAGAGTGAACCTGTGCGTCTTGAGGATATGTCTGATCAAACAAAGGCCAGAGCGAGACTGCTATACGGTGTGCTGAACGGATTGCTCTATGATCGAGGCCGCCGCCTCCTCAGATCCGTTGTCGGTCAAAACGGGTATGAATCCTGGAGATTGCTTTCCCGAGACCTTATGCCTCAGTCTCGCAACAGAGTTCTTGCTTTGCTGCGTACAATTTCAGCATGGTCCGCATTCGATGCCAAGCAGCGCCTATCTCAGCAGCTGGTTCGACTGGAGACTGCTTTCGAGGAGTATGAACGATTGGTTCCTGGAGGTGTGCCAGAGAATCACAAGATGGCTACGCTGCTCGGCTGCTTGTCAGGACAACTTCGGCAGCATGCAAATGTAGTCGTCACTGACGATAGCAGTTACCATGATCTGAGAGAGCTTGTGCTGCGTTGGGATGGTGCCCAGACACGTTGGTCTTCGAGTGTTGCAATGAGTTACGGTTTGCAAGAAAGTGCCAAAGGCCTGAAACAGGATACTGGAGGTGTTCAGCCCATGGAGGTTGACAGGCTTGCGGAGGGCAAACCAGATGGCAAAGGCAAGCACGGCAAAGGCAAGAACGACAAAGGCAAGCAAGGCAAGGGCAAGCAATGGGACAAGAATGGCAAAGGTGGCAAGCAAGGAAAGTGGCAACAGCAAGGAGGATGGCAACAGCAACAGAGAGACTCGTGGAACAACAACAAAGGCAAGCAAGGCAAAGGCAAGCAAGACAAAGGCAAGCAGGACAAAGGCAAGCACTACAGCTACGACAATTACACTGGCAAGGGCTACGGTGGCAACCAATGGCAGGATCGTCGTGTTCAGCAGGTGCAAGACCAAACAGGTCAGCAGCAGCAGCAAGTGCAGCAGCCATGGCAAGCTCCACCTCAGCCCAGCAACGCTACAGCAGTTCCGAGTTTTAGCAGTGCCGCCAGTCAAGCTTCAACCATGTCAACTGCAGTGCGTCGAGTGTTTGCTGAGCCGTTGGTTGTGGATGTGAGCGATTTGGAGCTGCCTGGAGACTCGTGCATACGCATGCTGCAGTGCCCCGAGTACAGACTCGATTCTTCTGACAACGATGATGATTGGTGCAGGGCGCCTGATCAGCCTGCATTGGTTCTGCAAACGAGCCCTCCGCCAGCTGTTCGAGCAGTGCAGTATTCATCTGATGCTACTGCACAGGCCGTTATAATCGATTCTGGCGCGGATATTTCGTGCCTTCCTCGGTGCTTTGCCTCGGCTGGAAAATATGTTCCCGCCAGGAACCTGCGAGTTCAGGATGCACAAGGTGCAACCATGACAGTGAGCGAGGAGCGCCTCGTTGACTTCATTGTCGAGAGCTCAAACTGCGGCCCAGTGGCTATCAGGGAAAGATGTATAATCGCAGATGTCGATTGATCAAGAGAGGATGGTTTCCATGTCGTGGAGAGCAAGGATTTTGGCTGAATCACGACGGCTCTGGTGCCGATGTTCCTCTGGGCTTTAAGGGCATGAGTCTTATGGTGCAAGCTTCAATCCGCAGAGTGAGTCAGCCGCCGCCCGAGAACGAGCACAACACAAGTGTGGCCCTCGATCTGCCGCCACGTCATGTGCGAGCTATGTTTACTGCAACGCTGAGTGAGCAAGCAGAGAAACTTCAGTTTGGTTGGCAAATCGGGTCCACAGGCCACATCATCTGGAGAGGAAAGTCCTCTATCATGATTGATCCTTCTTTGGTTGTGGTGAGTGATTGGCCTTACAGGACAACCATCATGCGCAGGTCAGATGATGAAGACTGGCTGGTGGCTGAGACATGTGTGAAGTGGGCGGATCTTGCTGATATTGAGGGCCCAATTCCCGGAGGAGGAGAAGCAGAGCTGATTGTGGTTTTGCATCCGAAGCTTGAGCAGCTCAGTGATGTGGGCATCCAGTGCTCAGATGAGGCATCTGCCTCTGTTGATATGCAGGTTGAGCCGCCTGCCTTGTATGAGGATGATGACGCTGGCGGGGCAGGTGATATCCTGTTCGATCAAGAGCCGGGTGAAGCTGAAGCAGATGAGGTTGTGCCGCAGGATCCCGAAGTGGCAGCAGTTCTTCCTGACATGGAGGAGCCAGAACAGCTACCTCCTCCACCGGCCATCGAGGACAAGCTTGTGCTGGACGGTGTGGAGCTTACTGCACAAAGTACGATTGCTGCCTTGGCGAGTGCATGCGACAGACTTGGCTTGCGTCATTCCGGTAGCAAGCGCCGCCTCTATGAGCGCATCAAGGGGTACTTGCAGAAGCAACAGCTTTCTTTGTCTGCTGATATGACTCGTGATGCAGTTGCAAATGCCTCGCGAACTCCTTCTATGCAGTCTATACCGACACCGCCTTCGAGAGCTGAGCAGCTGCTACACGAGCTCACCCACGAGCCGTATGCGGCTTGGTGCCCCACTTGCATAGCAATGCGAGCGCTTCCGGACCGAAGTGAGCGAACTGTTGATGCTCCGAGGGACATTCCCCGAGTGTCGTTTGATTTCATGTACACTGGTTATGACGAAAGCCAGAACGAAGCTGTGCACAAGCCTGTTGTGGAAGGAGATGATCCCAAAGATCTGCTGTGCTGCTTGGTTTGCCATGATCAGGCAACGTCCTCCATAGCATGTATACCGTGCCCCGGGAAGAGTGCTACGAGATACCTCGGTGTGGAGGTGATGCGCTTCGTGCAGAGCCTAGGGCATCCAACAGTTGAGATTTTCTGTGACAAAGAGCCGACGACTATTCGGCTGCAGGATGCTATCTGTGTTGCTAGAAGCCGGTTGGGCCTGAAGACTCTGAAGAAGAACCCTCCGATTGGGAATCATCAGAGCAATGGCGCTGTGGAGCGCACGGTGGACTTGGTCAGACGACTGGCTTGTACACTGTTGGATGTGGTGCGTCGTAAAACTGGTTGTTCGATCACAGTGAAGCACCCTCTGTTTGCATGGAGTTTCAGCCACGCGGCGTGGATCAGGAACCACTTCGCCGTCCAAGGCGGATTGACGCCCTATGAAAGATGCTACTCCACGGCCTACAAAGGAAAGCTCGTGCCTTTCGGAGAACCTGTCTTCGGGCAGATCGTGCCCAAGCGAAAGGGCAATGCCAGGTGGCTGAAGGCCGTCTTTGTCGGCAAAACGCGTAGCAATGATCAATACCTCATTGCAAGCAGGTCCGGCATCCGAACATGCCGTAGTGTGCGCCGCACTGGCCATGAGTGGAGCCAGGACCAAGAGCTGTTCAACAATCTGTCAGGACAGCCTTGGGATTACAGTTCCGGCGTCTATGAGACGCGGCTGGTGCCACCGGCCAAGAACAGAAAGCCTCAAGCTTTACCAGTTCCTGGAAGTCCTCAAGATGAAGCCGCCTCGGACCCGCCAACTCCTGTGCCTTTAGGGTTTAGGCCCCCCGAGAGTGTTGGCTTGGGTTCTAGTGCCGCCACGCCTGCTGCCATGCTTCCTCCCACGCCTGTGGGACCAGGATCGAGCCAAGATGTGCCGGGGCCCGCTGAGGTTCCGAGCAAGCGAGCTAAGTTGCACTTGTCACGGCCTCCGCCTGAGAGTGCAAGAGTTGCTGATGCACCAGTGTTGCCACATGCCGCACCTGGTGTGCCGAATCCTTCTTTGAGTATTCCTTTGGGACCTCAAACCCCTGAGTCTGTTCTCGAACCAATGCCTGAGCAGCCTGATGCTGCTATGTTGCCTGCCGAGACGGCAGCAGTGGAAGAACGAGCTTCCAAGATGCCAAAAATTCGTACAGTTACTTTTGGTGATCGCAGTTATGATCTCAACGATGAAGGCTATGATGCTGACTTTGCGGAATGGGAGGACCCCGAGACCTTCCTTCAGATGTCTGATCAATGGTCGGACGATGAGGGCGCCAATCCGGCGCATGCAGAACCCGACTCGGCTTCCTTGAACGAGGCGGGGCAGCCACTTGAAGATTCGTTGTGGTTTAAGGACATGGGCCATGAACCAGTTCTTACTCCTGATGAGTTGTATGCCTTGGACAGGATTGCAGATGAAGTAGAAGTGAGCCGCTTGATCAGGAAAGAGGTTCTTCGGCCGGTCTGTGATCAAGACAATGTTCGAGCAATGAAGAGTTTATCTACTAAGATGGTACGAACATGGCGTCGCAAGCGCCGTGGCGGGGTACCGCATTTTCTCAGAAGATCCAGACTTGTGGCCAGGGAGTTCCGCTGGCTTGAAGAAAAGCAAGGATTGTTTTCACCTTCGACCACAACGAACGTGGTCAAGATCATACCGTTGCTCTTCCTGATATGGAGAATCACTAGACCTGGTGTTACCTACGCCATAGCCTCTATCGATGTAAAGGATGCGTACTTGGAAGTACCGCAGGAGGAGCCGGTGATGGCTGGACTGCCCCAAGACTACATAGGAGCCGGTAAGTTCGTGTTCCTAAAATGTGTGCCTGGTCAGCGTGATGGAGCACAGCGATGGTTCAACCATTATGTCGACTTTCTCAAGTCAAAGATGCCTCTTGAGTCGTGCGTTGAGAACCCTGCGATCATGAGAGTCCCTGAGGGACCAATGCTTATGCATGTTGATGACGGACTTACGCTTGGACCGTTGGAATGGCTCAAACAGTCGTGCATTCCTACGTTGAAGACGCGGTTCGAGATTTCTGTCGAGATTGCCTACCAGTTGGGTGACACGTTTTCTTTTCTAAAGCGCAAACACACTATTTTGGAATCTGGTATTCTCATAGAGACACCGGAAACCTACATCAGACACATGGCTTCCATCCTTGGTCTTAAGCACGGATCAAGTCACAACACGCCATATCTTCCCGAGCTGATTCGCGATGATCAGACAGCTGCCCTTTCTGCTGCTGATGGTTCTAAGTTCAGGAGCGCACTTGGAGTTGCATTGTATTTGTCCAACGACAGGATTGACATTTGCTACACTGTGAGACTTCTTGCAGGATTTATGGCTGGGCCTACGGCATTGGCTATGCGCGGCCTGGTTCGCCTCACAAAGTATTTGATGAACACCTCGAGCTATGCTACTTTGATTGCACCAAAGCGCCCAGGATCTTCAGTGTTTCATGAATCACGTGCAGACGACGAGGAGCACTACATGGAGATCTACTCGGACTCTGACTGGAGCGGAAACAAGGTGACCCGGAAGTCCTTTGGTTGTGCGAGCTTTGCAGTGAACGGTGGAGTTTTTCACCACATATGCCGAACGCATCGCACAGTTTCCTTATCTTCCGCGGAGGCAGAATGGTATGCTGGGATATCGTCTTCATGCGAAGGACTGTTCCTGCGAGCTGTTTTTACATTCATGTCACAAGAGAGTTGCAGTTTGCACCTCAAGATGGACAATTCTGCTGCCCGCCAATTGGCGTTGCGTCAGGGAGTAGGGAACAAAACGAGACACGTTGCAGGTCGCTTGTTATGGCTACAACAAGCTGTTCGTGAAGGTCTCATTACGGTGAGTGCTATCGCCTCGGCATATAACCTCGGAGATCTTTCCACTAAGATGCATGCAGCGAATCGCTTGAAGTGCTTATTGTTTCTGCATGGTGTTGCTGACTGCGACACTGCTCGATCAATCGGCAGTGATGAGTTCGATCAAATGGTGATGAGGGAATCTGTTAAAGCTCAGGTGAAACGGGTGCGCATCGAGTACGCGAAGGAGCATGGATGCACGCCCCACTTTTCGGGCAATGCAAACAGGCTTGCAAAGCAGATTGCGATGATGACTCTTCTGGCTATGCCTTATGGCGTTGAAGCTGCGGATGATGGTGGTGGCCACTTTACGCCACGTGTGACTTCGATGTGGATTGCAACTTTCGGATGTATGCTTCTGCTGTTGTATCGAGCCTTGAGCTGGTTGCGGAATCAGGGCTGCGACTTCAACATGTTGGTCGAGCTCACAACGGCGGATGTCGGATCGAGCATGCTTACTGCGATGCTTGTTGCATTCTCAATGATCCCTGAGATGACCGCTGAGCAGTGGATGATCGTGCTGCTCATTTACATCATCATGCAGCAGCGCCGTGGACATGAGTCGAGTGTGAAGTTTTCTGCTGCGCATACACGTGTGAGTGCCACTGAGAGTGCTGTGAAGCCGTCTACTGCGAGTAGTTCTGAGAGTGCAAGCGCTGGCATCCCAAGTGAAGTTGTGTACTACTGCTCCGTGAACGGTAATTGCTACCACAAGGAAGGGTGCCATGTTCTTCGTACGGTGCATTCGAAGATTCGGAAGTATCGTCCATGTGTATATTGCGCCGATGCGGACCACAAAGGTTAAAGCATCGTGTACTGTTTGAACAAAAGCCGGATGAGCTTTGCATAGTGCTACAGCTCAGGCGGGGTGTGGACTTTTGACAACATGTACACGCCTCATTTTCCGGCTAGGTCCGGCTAGGTTTTGTAATCACGTGAACCTTTTCCACATGTCATGTGTCAGGAGTGCATATGGCATGGAACCGTACCGCAGGCTCTTAGGTGCTTGGAAAAGACCGTTCTTTTGTTCAGATTAGGAGCCTGTTCAGCTGTGTCGAGTGGACAGAAGATCTGCTCAAGTTGGCCAAGAACAGGCTTGCCGAGCTTCGCGTACTGCAGGAGTCACAGCCCGAGAATATTGCTACACGGCCCCTAGCCATGCAACAACTGGAAAGTGCCGTGGAAACCTTCCAGCAGGTCGTCCCGATCGAAAAGCCCAAGCAGGAAGGTGTGGAGGGAATAGGCGTGCCGTGTCCGGTTTGCGGGGTCTACTTCGATAACCAGACCAGCGTACGTAAGCACCTTAGGCGCAAACACCCCGACTACCAGATGCCGGAGATCAAATTTGACCCGGCTGAACATGCCATTGGAGGCCTACCGCAGTGTGCTGCATGCAAGCACCGTTTCCAGAGCTGGCAGGAGCTAAAGGTCCACATAGAAAAAGGCCGATGCCACGAACAGGACGTGGATACCCGGGAGCCGAACACCGGCCCCACACAGGATGTCGCCCCCTCTCTGGCAAAAGACCACCGAGGAGAAGCCGCGATTGCCACCGCATCGCAACCCAAGAGTAGCGGACTTGATTCGTGAACAGGGCTGGGAAGCCCTTGTGAGCAGTGAGCACGCGGAGGACCTAAAACAGCACTGCTGCATTTGTGCCAGATGGATGGTTGACACAACGTCCATCAAAAGACACATGAGAAACTCCCATCCTGAAATCTGGAAGCAAGTCTCGGAGCGGCTCGAAAGCACCTGCACTGTCTTCAAGCCCCGGCTCACGCGCGACGGGACATGCCCTTGCTGCAAACGCACTTCCTATAACCGTCACTTTAAACAGTGTTGTGTCATTGTGCAGTCTGCGATCCTCGGACTCATTCCCAGCCATGTCGACAACACAGGAACAAATCCAGATGTTCGGCTACCTGCTGCCGGGGCTGAGCGAATCCAACAAGCGGCCTCCAGCAACGCCGCAACAGCAGAGCACCAAGGGGGAGGAGTCCGGCAAAGCCGGAGGCAAAGCAACTGGCCATCAGTGCGGGCTGGCTGGATCAGCAAGACCGGCTGCAGTACCAAAAGTGGGACGCAGAAAACAAAAAGCTGATACCTCATCCCACGATGCCAGGCCTAACGATCACGGAGGTGATGCTGAACCTGACAGAGATCGAGCCGCTCATTCTGGAGTCCTTGGTGTTGCGTTTTCACGCGCCGCGAAAGCTCAAGCCAACACCGGAGACGGAGAACAAGGCGGTCTTCAAGTTGGAGGTCTCACTTCGAAGCACAGAAGCAGATCAACTATACCAGAGCCTCGCGAAGCTGGAGAACAATGCAGTATGGCAACTCATAGGATGCCAGCTCAGAAAGGACGGCATGCGCCGATCCAACCCAGTGCAGGAGCTGATGAAGCTGCTCAGCCAGGGAGGCCGGCCCCTAATAATACACAACACTTGATACTGCAGGCTTCACTCCACAACAGCTCCAACACGTGCTATCTCAATGCCTGTCTTCATGCACTCATGTGGCAGGTGACGATGATGCAGAGTGAACTTACTTTGCCTCAGGCTTGGCTAAACGCCCTTGGTGCAGTGGATGTCAAACCGCTTGCTCTACTCAGGTTCCACCTGCTGGGGTGGGGACAACCACATGTGCAACACGATGTGGCTGAGCTTGCATCGCATCTGCTACGGAACCTGAGCTGGCTACCATGTGTAGTCTCGTGGTGCCGCCGAGTGCAGGTGGACGGGGGCTATCAAAATCTGCAGGCAATGCAGGACTCCCGATTGCTAATCCTTGATCCCGCGACTGGTCTACAAACACCGGTATTACAGGAAACGATTATCTCCTGGCACGGGGTCATCGCAGTGCAGGCGCTACACGAGGCGCCACAGATGCTGTGGATCCAATTGCCGAGGTTTGTGCAAAACGGAGCCCGAACTCAAAAAGCCAAGCAATCAATCCACTTGGATGCCCAACACCGCTGCATCCGCCTACCTGTGTTCGCCTCAACTGATGCCTCAAGGGATGATTCCATCAATTGGTGTGATTACCAGGTGAACGCAGTGATTTACCACATAGGTGCAACAGTCAGTGCCGGGCATTATCGCACCATGTTGTTTCATCCACAGGCAAACGGGGGCTGGCACACCGATGATGGCAAACCAGCTACTTGGTGCAAAGCCGTGCCGAAACAAGTAGAAAGAAACTGCTACCTGGTGTGTGCGACCAGGCTGGTCAGCAGTGAACGGCTCTGACGCAGCTAGGGTAGTTTTTCTGGGAGCCGTTCCTCGGCCCCATGTAGAACCGCGTAGGGTCAGCGTTCAGTGCGCTGGAGTTCCGTCCTGAGTAAGACACTCGTGTCCTCAGGATACGGGGAAGGGGTTACACTTAGTTCTGCTGCCACTGAGCAGCCGTGGCGAAAGGTCACGTAGTTCGCTAGACAGAGAGACTCTCGTCTGCGGTTGAAAGTGAAAAAAAAGACAAGCCATCCAGGCTGGACTTCACAGGCCTTCAACCGGATGCGTGCATCCAGGACACGCGCGTGATCGAGCAAGTCGGAGACATCATCAACAGCATCCAGACCACTCTCGGGAGTAACTCTGACTGACCAAGGAAGGGTATATGCCTCCCCCTCAGACCAAGAGTGGGTCGATCTCGGCTCTTTCACCTGTTAGCAGCTCGGACAGGAACGCTCAAAGACAGAAGCTCAGTGACTGGCAAATCCCCTTCCTTGGAAAAGAAACCGTCGAGTTTGGTAGCTTGCATCAGTTGCATGTCGGAGCAGGTTGCATGAAGTCGATGTGGAACGCATGAAGGCTCTCGAGTGGATCGACTCGGAGGGTCGGTGGGTTTATCGGAAATGTTCTCCGACTCAGGAGGCTCTGTACCTCGATCAGTCCAGGAAGCCGATTCCTCAAACAGCATTCATCGAGCAGCTGGGTCAGGCCATGACTTTGCTGGCACGTCCGGAAAACATGCCGAGATTTCAGTCGAGGGAACTGGCGCCGGAGATGAAGGGCTACGCGGTGACTTTTCATGTGGACATTGGGCTCCGCTCGGAAGCGGAGCCCCTGTGGCAGATTTTCACAACATGGGTGGACCTCCAGGCCTGGGTGTTGGGGGCGGTGAGAATTCGGCCCCATCGGCTGAAGCGCCCGCCCGCCGCCGATCGCCTATCAGTCTGGCTTGGCAATCACTGAGGCTTCAGAATCCTGGCAATCATTGTTATGCTAATTCTGTGGTGCTTGCCTGTGGTCGATGGCTGCTGCCTTCACCTCCACCTGCTGCTGTCACAGGTGCCAATCCCTTCATGAAAGCGCTTGCTGCACTACAAGGCTTAAGCTTCTCTCGTGATTATGGCCACTTCAACATGCTCTCCTGGAGGTCGCTGTTTACGGGGTGGAGCAGGCCGAATCAGCAACATGATGCGACGGAATTCCTTCTTCATCTGTTGCGCCAGGGGTCTGATGCTCCTTGGGTGAGCCGCTGGCTGGCTGGTACACAACTAGGCGACCGCTTCGAGGTTGAGGATTCGGGCTCCAATGTCATCTTGATGCCTATTGCAGGTGCTGGCGATGCTACAAGATACACTCTCCAAGAGTGTGTCCAAGCCTGGCATATGAAGCCTTCGCAACTCTGGGAGGGAAAAACAAGTCTTTATTGCCTCAGTGAGTTTGAAACTCATGTGTGCATTGTGTTGCAACGCTTCCACGTCGGTGCCACCACGATCAGCAAGAGCCACACTCCGGTGCAGGTGGATTCTACATGTGAGTTGCCGGTGTACCGAGCTGGAGCTGTTATGTGGCGGCCTTTTCATGTATGTGCAGTGACTTATCACATTGGCGAGTTGCCAACCAGTGGTCACTAACTACCGAAGCATTCTTTACTTGAATGATGGGCTGCAGCTTGCAACTGAAGACAAAGTGAAAGCTAAGAAACTGAGTGCGAAGGATCGTAGCTTAGGCAGTGCTGGTGCTTACATTGTGTATTTGTCCTCAAATCCTTGATTGTTGCTTTTGCATTGCATCGTACTCGTGTGTTTCACTGACGGCTCGCTGACACTCGTGTCGGGGCGCCATGCTGGCACTCGTGCCGATGGCTGAATGTGTGCGTAGGTGTACACAGTCACTTGTTACATGTAACACACGTGTAACATGTAGTGACCGGGTCCAAATGGACTTGTTCTTGTGCCACTTGCGCGCAAGGTGGAGACCGCAACTCTCGCCCGCGTTTTCAAAGTCAAAAAGACGGCCAGCCGAGCCAGGGACATCGCCGAGCCAGGACAGGGCGGCCCTTTGCCATTACGAAGTCCGGAGCATCCCGAAGGGAAGCCAGACTTGGCCCCGCAAGACGCGGAAAGAGTCGCTAAGGCCAACCTGCTCTACGTTCTCGTGGCTAAGATCTGGGAGGCCTGTCAGGAGCGAAAGATAACAGTGGTGATTGAGAACCCGTATCGCAGCTTCTTCTGGCACTTGCCTCAGATCACAAAGATCCTAGAACATGAGGACGCTGTTCTAGTGCGGAGCGACTTCTGCATGTTTGGGGGACAGAGACTCAAGAGGACCGCGCTTCTTAGCAACAGCCCTTTGGTGCAGTCGCTGGCAGCTCAATGCGATGGCAAGCATACGCACGCCGCCTGGGGCAGGGTTGAAGGAGAGTTCGTCACTAAGCAGGAGTCGGCGTATCCCGCTCTGTTCTGCAAAGCATTCATTGGACATCTCAGCGACTCTGGTTGCGTAGATGAAAGGGAGGTCCAGGAACTTAAGGGTCCAGGTCCTGCATCGGCCAAGGTGCTTTCGACCCAGGCCCGCACTAAACGTGCTGCTTCTTTTCGTGTGATTCCAGAATTCCGCAAGACTGTGCGCTGCCATCTCAGCGCAGAGACGAGAGGCAGGCTGGTCACGCCTCAGTGGATGCCAGCCCGCAAGATCGAGGGATTGGACGCAGGTTCAGCGGAGGAAGTCAAAGTGGCTCCAGTAGCGGGTAGCCCGACAGACGTCTGGGTGCACGTCCCCTAGACACCTCAGGAGTTCGTTCTGCAGGCTAGGCGAACGGGGCATCCTTCACATCTGCACTTGGGCATTCCGCCACAGATGAAGCAGGCCATAGACCATAGACAAGAACGCCAGCATGAAACCATTGCAGGTCATGCAGGTTAGGGCAGCTCAGTGCCAACGCTGGCTCAAGCGAGCCTCGGATTTGGAGGAAGCTGAAGCTACTTTCAAGCAGTCCCTGCCGCCACACATTCAGGCGAGCCTAGCGAACAAACGAATCCTCTTGTTCAAGGAGATGTTGGAAGCGGCACATTATCCGGACAAGGCTGTAGCCGATGACATGGCGAAGGGATTCAGCCTGGTTGGTCATTTAGACCTTCCTGCAGGATGGTCAGCAGATAGCAATGAACAGATCATCCAGGACGTAGCATCCTCCTCAAGCTTCATAGAAGAGCTCTGGCAGAAAAGTCTGGAGGAAGTTGCTAAAGGCTGGTCCGAGGGGCCTTTCTCCGTTGAAGAGCTGCCCGAGGGGGCAGTCATTAGCGAGCGATTTGCTATTCAACAGGGCAAGAAGGTTCGACCCATCGACGACCTGTCGCAGTCCTTCCTGAACGCCGCCTTCGGATCGGAGGGCAAGATTCAGCTGCACGACACAGAAACCATCGCTGCTGCCTTGCTGCTACTGTTTCTGCGAAGGCGTAAATTTGGACTTCAAGGCAAGACGATAGACCTTAAGTCCGCTTACCGTCAATTGCCCCTGTCTTCAGAAGCGCTGGAGATGTCCTTCATTGCTGTGAAGAACCCGGAAACTGGCGAAGTCCAGTTTTTCCGGTTGCTCTGCTTGCCCTTTGGGGCGGTAGCAGCCGTCCACGCTTTCATCAGAGTAAGCTTGGCGTTGTGCCACTTAGGACAGACCTTTTGGTTGCTGCCGTGGTCGGCGTTCTACGACGATTTCACCTTACTGTCGACTCAGGATCTGGCCTCGTCCAGCGAGAAGAGCGCGAATTTTCTCCTGGATCTTCTCGGATTCGATTTCGACAAGGATGGTGACAAAGCCCAACCATTCAGGAGTGTCTTCAGGGCTCTCGGGGTTGAGTTCAACCTCCAGGATGAAGAAGGCAAGAGCTTCCAAGTGGCTAATACCAAGGAGAGAACTGAGAGAACGGAGGAGCTTGTCAAGGATTTAGGGGAGATGGCCTCCAAGCAGCAGATCTGTCCCAAGGCATGGAACAAGATCAGGGGCCGCCTCCACTTTGTGGCAGGGCAGCTAGCGGGCCGTGTGCCCAAACGCCTCATGCGTAGGATTTCGGACGTAGTGTCCTCTCCGGCATACTGGAGGTACGAGGACAAAACACAGGTATCCAACTACCTGCGCCAACTGCAGGACTACGTCTCCGAGAGTAGACCCAGGACTCTTCGGGCCCACACCTCCGAGACTGTCTACCTCTTCACAGACGCCTCCCAAGAGGGAGTGAGGGGACAAGAGATGGGCTTGGGATCAGTCCTGCTGAATCAGGAGGGACACATCCTGGCGTGGTTCGGAATCCTCTTGCCGCTGTCTTTCGCAAAAGCTTTGACATCCAACAAGCACAAAGTGATCAACGAGCTCGAGAGCCTAGTGGTACTTCTATCGTACACCCTCTACAGACCACTACGGTAGTCGTGCTGTAAGTACAAACCTTTATTTTCAGGAGAAAAATTTTCGAATCTTTATGATGAGAAAATTTCGGCTTGCAGAACCTACACATCCCAAAGACTGGGAGTGGAAAATTTTTCTTGTGGCCAACGTGCTACAGGGATAGAGGGGGAGGGGGCGGGTACCTTAATGAAGGTCCATGTGTTGCCTCCTCAGAGTGAGAGTGTACCTATTGGTCTGTACCTTGGACTGCAGGCCTTTCTTTCGTGAGGCGAAGCGTGTTGACAGGACAGATCAGATACCACCAGTGTGTATCTCAGAGCCTGGGGGAGTCTGTCAGATGTGTCCTAATTCTGGGAACATTCTGCTCTGTGCGATAGGCCTCAAGATGGGTGAACAATCCGCAGCGGCCCCAGAGCTGACTGGCGCCGACGTCAGTGATCATTCCTGGAGTACCGACACACTGAGTGTGGTGGGCAGGCATGCGCACAGCATGCAGCTTCAAATCTTCAGGATCTCTTTACGCACCAATTGGGTTTTGAATTCAATCATGGATCGTCTGTCAGTTTAGGAAGATTAGGTGCTGCTTGCCAGGTGCTTCAACTTTTGGAAGTCCACCAGTGTAGTGCAGGTTGCCCGTAGTGCAAGTTGAGCGCGTGGAGCTCGCTCTACCCACGATGAGAACTCGGCAATAGCCTCGGCACTTGCTTTGTGGTTGGACGCGAGAAACAAGCCCCAAGATGTGCCTGCAGGTCAGAGGTGATTCGTGTGACAAGTTTGTTTACTCTCAAGCAAGTGTATCCAGCGAATTCATAGAAGCACGCTTCCTCCCGTAGTCATGGGCAAACGAGGTCGCCAAGCGACACCATCCCCTGCGAGAGAGTCAGGCAGCCACGAGTGCAATTCTGCGAACACGGGGGGGGGAAAGATAGAGTCGAGAGGTCCAGGTCTCCACTTCGTCCGCCCCCCACCTGGAAATGTGGTGGCGGGAATGAAGCGGAGCCTGCCACCCCTTCGGTCCATTTACCAGGGGATGTCCTTCGTCCTGGACCTTCAGCACTGAGAAGTTCCTGTTGCCCCGCCGCAGAGACGAAGCATGCAAACAGATGTGCATGTTGATGTGAGTCGGGATGTCTTGTATAGCTGCTGGTTTTAAGTTGAAATTGCACGAGTGCATGAGGGCCACAACATTCGTGTGTGCCGCCAGTTGCTGGTCTCTTCAATTTGCTTGTGGTTCGAACGAACTACAACACTTTCTAAGAGCACGGCCGGGTTTGCATTCAATCCTTGCATCGACAGAATTTCGTTTGCTGCAAAAGAGTAATAAGTCCGAGGACGCGTTGGAGGACAGTTGTTGCAGCTGAGGCCTTGCATCTTGACCTTTGAACGCTAGAACAGTTCTGTTTTGTGGTTTGCAGCCGTACATTCTCAGGAGACATGGAAGAGGCGAACCTAGGGGGACACTCTCGCTGAGGTAGACTCCGACCTGTCCTCGTGGAGCTCGGCTTTCGAGCCGCTGCCCGCGCAGCTCCCGAAAGCTGCCAAGAAGAAGAAGAAACATAAGAAATCCAAGAAGAAGAAGAGGACTAAGGAGAAGAAAGCATCCAGACACGCGGACAGGGGGCCTGCTGAGGATTCAGATTCTGCCGAGATTTTCGCTACGGCACAAGATAGCCATCCTGGCAAGGACGTCCTGGAGGAAGGTCCCTCAGAGTTCAGAGAATCCCTGCCGTTTGGGGACGCGAGCCCCGTCAGGGCTCACCCAGGCATCGAGGACTCGGGCGAGTACGTTTTCATGGCAGTGTGGCAGCCAGCTGCAACGCCACCTAGGTTGAACAGGACCCGTGCATGCGCGAAACTGCTCGTGCGTTCTGGGCTCCGTTGCCCGTGCCACTTCAGATATGTCAGCCTGTGCCCAAATCGGGCGACTTCTTCGCCAGAACCTCAGTTTTCGGTCTGTTTTTCATGGTGAGTGAGTCTAGTAAAGAGTCCCATGGCGTTCTGCCAGGCCGTGACCCATGAGAGCAAGATGACGTTTTCGGCGGGAAAGAAGGAGCCGAACGCCCGCACACAGAGTGTTTCTCGTTCGTTGGTCGCTCTGCTAGCAAGCGGACAAGGGTCCTTGACGGGCGTAGTGACTCTCGCTCGGCTCAAGAAGGAGGACAGCCTCCGGCAGCAACACGGCAAAGGCCCAAAAAAAAAAAAAGAAAGCAAGAATTGCAAAGAGCAGCAAAGGCTGCGGGGTCCAAGAGGCGAAGAGCCCATCATGTTTCCTTTCTGGATGATAGACCCTTCGGGACAAGGGAGGCGCAGGAAGCGCGCATCGAGCAGCTCCAGTGGGAGAAGCAGACGTAGGAGGTCCCGGCGTCATGATAGGCGAGACCGTCGCCGTCGCAGCTCCTCTGAGTCAGACCGGAGGGGCAGAAAGCGTGAGCGCTCCAGGGATGCCCTACAGACTCCGGCGAGTTCATCCGCGATGTTTTGCGTGGGGATGGCACCGGGCTACGCGTGGGTGCAAGTCCCTTTGAATGCCCAGGGGCTCCCCAATATGCCTAGCAGCGCCTAGCATGCCTATCGCAAGCGCTGCAGCAGAGCCAGCAGCGCCGACGCCGAAGGAATCCTCATGGGAAGAGTCCTGGAAGAAGCAGACCCCATGGAAGGGAGGCGAGTCATGGAAGGGCGGTGAGTCCTGGAAGAAGGACACCAACAAAGGTTGGAACAAGTGGGTGAACCCAAATTGGAAGCCCAAGGACAAGCCCTATCAGAAGAAAGATTGGGGTCGCGACGGGACCTCGGGTTCTTCTCCTGATAAGCGGCTTCCTCCGCCGCCCCCTCCGCCACCTCCAGAGGAGGATCCTAACCGCCAGCCGGATGAAAACGCACGTTATGACATCAAGGAGGCTACCGAAGAGGAAGAGCGTGCAGCAGCTGCCAAGAAAAGGCAGCAAGAGGAGGAGTCGTTTCACGAATCCTTGTGGCGCGAGGCCGTTTTGGCGGCCGTCAATGATATCAACCGACCCAGGTCTGCGAGGGAACTGGTCAGAGAAGGGGCGATGCGGGATTGGTGGAGCATGAGTTGGAGAGACTGCAAAGAGTTGGTCAATGGAGATCTCCACGATTACTACCGCTCCCGTTTGGCCGAGTTGTTCGAGGCGCAGGCCGATGAAGGAGCCAAGGCACCCGATGTCGTGCTCGAAAGGTTTTCTGCCCTCTGTGCTTACTTCAAGCAGTGCGACATGCCACTTGAGCAGGATGACGCGCTCGAGATGACTATCTTCAAAATTCCAGGTCAGAAGATAGCGTGCGTCCGGACCAGGATCGAGGGGCCAAGCTACTGCAGGCCAAGGAACGCGAGGCATTACCTCGTCGCATCGCACGGGACATCTTTCAATTGCGCATTCGGCCTCGCCAAACACGGCGAACTCTGTCCGGGGGACCACATCGACGGAGAATTTCCGCAATACGGCTTCAGTGGTCGCGGCTCCTGCAACGAGCTCAACACGGAGTCCCTCAAACAGTCCATTGGGAAAGTGGCATCGAAGAGCAAAGGAATGGGCCAAGTCATAGTGTCCTATGAAGGGACACTCGAACAGGCTACGCCGAATACAGAAGGCGGAATGCCGTATCTTTCGTCAGCATGCAAGGATGCTGGCAGCGCGAGGTCCGGCGAGCACTTGATGCTCAGTCCTCGGTTTGCGATCTTGCGAGCCGTCTCGACCTCCTGGCCGGCCTGAGCCCCGGCCATGGAGCCAAGCACAATGAGTTCTTCCACAACGCAGAAGAAAAGAAGGGCACCTTTCTTTCAACTTTGTTGTCCGTCTGTGCTGCTTTCGCGGTTTTCAGTCCTGTCGGACCCCGGTGCTTTCCTCCCTCGGCACGGGCTCCAGCGGGCTGCAGGGATGCTTAGGCTTCGAGCCGAGGACGTGCCCTCAGAGAGTGATGAAGAACATGTGCCCACAGGGGCACTTGAGAACCACGGGCAAATCTTGGTCTCCGCTACCTTGCCCCAAGTTCTGATGCCTTGGCAGCAAGGGGTCTTTCGAGACATCTTCGAGGACCCACCAGCACTGCAATGTGAGTTGCCAACGCCTCAGGTGCTGTTGCCCTTAGCAGAGTCGGCAGCAAGTCAGGTTCCTGACCTTGCGGCTTCGGACTGTTCCGCGACTCCGTCCTCTCACCCTAAGGTGAGCAAAGTGTCAGGCCCTGAAATCTTCTCCAAGGTCATTCGACACAAGACTTCGGACCCAGATTTTTCCGAGAGCGTCTCGGCCTTATGGGCTAAAGCTATTAAAAAGTGGCAGGTGCTCTTTGAGGCATCCCCCTCCACGACCCTGTGCAAGGAGTTCAGCAGGATGACCCTTGAGGAGCGGATGAGCTCCCTAAGAGACGTTTTTGGTTCTAAGTCGCCACACAGTGGAGAAGAGAGCCACGGCCCTGGTGCGATTCTTCAAGTGGCTTCAGTCCGAAGCTTTCTTAGATGAGGAGACAGCCGAGGAGCCTCTGGCTCCCTCTGAGACATCTGTTTATCGCTTCTGCCAACACGTGTCAGCAGGGACCAAAGGAAAGCTGGCTGCTCAGGGATTCGTTCAGGCCCTGACCTTTGTCAGGTTCGTGCTGGTTGTGCCGGCCATGCAGCAGTGCCTGTCGCCGCGTGTACAGGGGCTGGCGGACCGAATGGCTGGAGAACACGACCCTGCTCATCAGGCCAGGGACCTTACAGTTCTCGAGGTGCAGTTCTTGGAAGAATGTTTGGCTGACGACAGCCTGCACATTCTGGACCGTTTTGCGGCAGGGGTGTTCCTGTTTCAGATTTACGCCAGGAATAGATGGTCTGACATTCGCTTTCTCCGATCGTTCGAGTGGGACTTCATACAGACCCAGGGTCAGACAGAAGGGTACATAGAGGCAAGGTCCAAGGATGTCAAACAATCCAACCGGAAGAAGAAGCAGACTTTATTTATGCCGCTGGTGGCCCCTGTCCGTGGAGTACACCCCACAATAGTGTGGGGCCTTGAGTGGAAGGACGTTGCCTCCAAGGTCGGCCGCCGTTTCGAAGCCACTCCGTTGGGACCATTGCTACCGGCAGTGGATGCTGAGGGCAAGTGGTTGAAGCGTACTGTTGACTCCCAAAAGGCTTCGCAGTGGTTGACTCAACTGCTTAGGAAGCGAGACCCTTCGATGGACAAGGTCACCACCCACTCACTCAAGCATACACCCTTGGGGTGGCTGTCTAAGTACGGCATCTACGGAGAGACTCAGACGCTTCTGTCGCACCATTCCACTGGAGCGCTGAGTACTTTAGCCTATTCTAGGGACGCCTTTGAGTGGACCTCTGAGGCAATTCGAGGGACTTCTCAGGCAAATACGGCTTGGAAGCTTCCTGCCGGACAGCACTCGCAGTGGGTACTGGGCGGGTTCGAGACCTCGAGGACCCGAGTCGAGCCTTGGGTCGTGGGACGAAGTGACGCTGCACCCGAGTTTACCGAGCTTCCAGCCAGATGCCTCGCTAGCAGAGACGCAGCCTAACCGTCATCCTCACGGTGGCGCAGAGGGGCCGGTGCCAACCGTGACCGACCAAGATTCGCCCAGCGGAGCTCCGGTCAATGACTGACAGTGTGCCGGGATCCGAGCAGGAACAATCGGAACCCTGTGGTTTCGACCCAGACAGTCTTGAGGCCCAGTTGGCAGAGGGAGTCGGCGAAGCCTTGCTGCTTGAACAGGAGGACTATGTCAGGTCCCCTGACCAACTGTCCGAGAGCTCCGAGGAGTGTGTTTCAGACCGTGACTCAGAGGACGATGAGCCCAAGGCGACAAAGCTACAGCTTCCTGATGGGTTTGTGGCTCTTCAGAACATCAAGTCCACCATGCTGCATCTCTGTCGAGAGGGCGGGACTGCCCTCAAGTGTGGGCCTTGGGTTAGCGGCAATTTTGAGAAGTTGTAGCAAGTGTTTTGCGCAGTAAATCAGCTGTAACAAAAGTCGCAGTGCCTGCCCCTGTGGTAGCAGTCTCCTTGACCCCTCCTTGCAGCCCCAGTTTGCTCAACAAGATGGCAAGTGCACCAGATAGTCAACCTTTCTTTGAGCAGCATGCCACAAAAATCGGAATGGAAAGAGCTCTGTTGGACAAGTTCATAGCTGGAGGGATCAGAACGGTCTCCCAGGCGGCCTACGCAGCGACCCCTCCAGGACAGGTCCTCACCGATGACAAGGTAACAGCTCTTTGCACCACTCTGGGAGAGGCCAGACCGTCGCTGGCTCAATTGACAGTCGTCAAACGCCTACTGTTTGAGTCTCAGACTATGAGTCTCGCCAACTTGAAAGCCAACATTGAGCAACAGCCCGATTCGACCGTCAGGAAGCTGCCAGGTGCAGAGCGAGCTCAGAGACTAGAGTTGCAAGCGACCCGCTTGGGAGGCCTGGAAATCAAGCACGACCTAGAGCCTGCGTTCTGTGTTTATGACGCGGTGACGACCCAGGTTGAGCAGGGTTCCCTCAAATACATTCACCCTAGCAACGTGCCGACAAGGCAACAGGAACTATCTCAGGCCAAGCCCGCGAAGGAGCTAACTCTGGATGCCTCGGGCAATGGCCTGTCCATTCAGGACAAGCAGTCTAAGGTACAGGCGCAGTTGGGCACAGAGATGGCGACCTATAGGGCCTTGCAGAGACGCGGCCTAGCCTACGACTTGGTTGGGGTGCTCAGTTTCCGTGTGCATGAGAGATGGCTCCAGAAGGCCTTTGCGCACATGAGTGCACCGGCACCGCCAGGATACAGCAGACCTTCTTTGCAACAGGTTCTTAGAGCTGACAGAGCTCTGTGGCTGGAGCTGGCAGGGCGCCAACCCACGCTCACGCGTTCGCCTGCTAACGCTCCCTTGACAGATGCTCGCTGCTTGGACAGGGCCTTTGAGGAGGCTTCGCATACCATGGATGTGAATTTTCATTTCATGCCTCTGCAACAGTCATCGATTCCACTCGATAATGGGGGCCACGCAGCCCGATGGCGAAAGTGGGGCGACGGCAAAGGTTTCCAGCCTCAGAAGTGGCAACGAACAGACAAGGGGAAGAACGGCTGGAAGGGCAAAGGAGAGGGTGGTTTCAAAGGGAAGGATGCTTGGAAGGGAAAGGGTGAAAATCACAAAGGTCACTTTGGTAACAAGGGGCTCGACAACCGTGGGGGCAAGTCCAACACCCCTATGCCAGCGGCATTGAGAGGAGGTGTACCGTGTGACGACTCAGGCGATCCCATTTGCCCAGTGGGCGGGCGTTGCGCTCGTGGGAGGCACGTGTGCTGCTGGCCTGGATGCTTCGGCAAACACGCGTTTGTAGAGCACAAGAATAAGACGACCAAAGCCTGAGGGTCGTCGCCTCCCCTTGCGGCGCCGGATGAAGCTGCTCTAGCGGCTGAAAGGGCGCCCACCGAGGCCTCCATTCGCGGAACCGCGTTAGAGGTTGAGGGAGGATCTTCAATTTTCCATAGTGAAACATCGATTCTGCCTTTGGCACCAGAGGTGGACGAGCCGGCCTCCACCGAAACACAGTTTGAAGAGAGGATTGGATCACAGTCTTTTACCAAGAGAAAGTGGGATAGTTTTCAGACATCAGAGCTTGAGCAGTTCGACCAAACAGCTGCAAAGAGGCCTCAAGAGCCCGTTTCCGAGTGTCAGAAGACGAAAGAGGACCAGGTCGCACAGCGTGAAGTGACCTGCACGGCCTCTTCGGCCCATGGGGCAATAGGCCCTCATCCGCGAGGGGCTCAGGAAGAGAGGACAGTCAAGAGCATACAGGAGTGCTGGATACTCGAAGTGTTCGCAGGACTGCAGGCATGGTGGCAGCTGCGGCTGCAGCTGGCATGAAGCGGTCGGTGGGACTGGACCACATTCGGATCCCTAACAGGAAAGGCAAAGTCATTCAGTTGGATCTGTTGTTGGAGTCCCATCAGAATCTGCTGTGGAAGTGGCTCGATTCCCCGGGATTGGAAGCTGTTTGGATAGCGCCGCCGTGCGGGACGGCAGGGACATCGCCGAGCCAGGACAGAGCGGCCCTCTGCCACTGCGAAGTCCGGAGCACCCTGAAGGGAAGCCAGACTTGGCCCCGCAAGACGCAGAAAGAGTCGCTAAGGCGAACCAACTCTACGTTCTAGTGGCTGAGATCTGGGAGGCCTGTCAGGATCGGAAGATAGCAGTGGTGATTGAGAAGAGAACCCATATCGCAGCTTCTTCTGGCACTTGCCTCAGATCATAAAGATCCTAGAACACGAGAATGCTGTTCTGGTGAGGAGCGACTTCTGCATGTTTGGAGGACAGAGACTGAAGCGGACCGCGCTTCTTAGCAACAGCCCTTTGGTGCAGTCGCTGGCAGCTCAATGCGACGGCACGCATACACATGCTGCCTGGGGCAGGGTTGAAGGGGAGTTCGTCACTAAACAGGAGTCGGCGTACCCCGCTCTGTTCTGCAAAACATTCATCATGGCACTGACAGGTCATCTCAGCGAGTCCGGTTACGTCGATGAAAGGGAGGTCCAGGAACTTAAAGGTCCGGGTCCTGCATCGGCTAAGGTCCTTTCGACCCAAGCCCGCACCAAACGTGCGGCCTCCTTCCGTGTGATTCCAGAATTCCGCAAAACTGTGCGGTGCCATGTTAGCGCAGAGACCAGAGGCAGGCTGATTGCGCCTAAGTGGATGCCAGCCTGCGAGATCGACGGATTGGACGCCGGTTCAGCGGAGGAAGTGAAGGTGGCCCCAGTGGCGGGCAGCCCGACAGATGTCTGGGTGCACGTCCCGTGGACACCCCAGGAATTCGTTCTGCAGGCCAGGAGAACAGGGCATCCCTCACACCTGCACTTGGCCACAGATGAAGCAGGCCATAGACAAGAATGCCAGCATGAAACCATTGCAGATCATGCAGGTCAGGGCAGCTCAGTCCCAACGCTGGCTCAAGCGTGCCTCTGAACTGGAGGAGGCTGAAGCAACCTTCAAGCAGTCTCTGCCGCCGCACATTCAGGCGAGCTTAAGGAACAAACGAATCCTTTTGTTCAAGGAGATGCTGGAGGCAGCACACTACCCGGACAAGGCCGTGGCTGACGACATGGCCAAAGGATTCAGCCTAATCGGCCATTTAGAGCTTCCTGCAGGATGGGCACCTGACTTTCGGCCCGCTTCGATAAGTGCTTCGGATCTAGCCTCTGTTGCAGCGGATAGCAATGAACAGATCATCCAGGACGTTGCGTCTTCTTCGAGCTTCACAGAAGAGCTCTGGCAGAGGAGTATGGAGGAAGTTGCTAAGGGATGGTCCGAGGGGCCTTTCACTTTTGAAGAGCTGCCTGAGGGGGCAGTCATTAGCAAACGATTTGCTATTCAACAGGGCAAGAAGGTTCGACCCATCGACGACCTGTCGCAGTCCTTCCTGAACGCTGCTTTCGGGTCGGAAGGCAAGATTCAGCTTCACGATACAGAAACAATAGCTGCTGCCTTGCTGCTATTTCTGCGAAGGCGTAAGTCTGGAGTTCAAGGAAAGACGATCGACCTCAAGAACGCTTACAGGCAACTCCCCCTGTCCCCAGAGGCGCTGGAGATGTCTTTCATTGCTGTCAAGCACCCGGAAACGGGCCAGGTCCAATTTTTTCGGTTGCTCTGCTTGCCCTTCGGGGCGGTAGCGTCAGTGCACGCGTTCATACGCGTCAGCTTGCCCAGGATTTGGCTTCATCCAGCGAGAAGAGCGCAAACTTTCTGCTGGACCTTCTAGGGTTCGACTTCGATAAGGACGGAGACAAAGCCCAACCGTTCAGGAGCGTGTTCAGGGCCCTCGGGGTCGAGTTCAACCTCCAGGATGAGGAAGGCAAGAGCTTTCAAGTGGCCAACACCAAGGAGAGAACACAGGAGCTGGTCAAGGATTTGGGAGACATGGCCTCTAAGCAGCAGATCTGTCCGAAGGCATGGAACAAGATCAAGGGCCGTCTCCACTTCGTGGCAGGGCAGCTATCGGGCCGTGTGCCTAAGCGCCTCATGCGTAGGATCTCTGACCAGGTGTCCTCTCCGGCATACTGGAAGTGCAAGGACAAAACGCAGGTGTCTAACTTGTTGCGACAGCTGCAGGACTATGTCTCCGAGAGCAGACCTCGGACTCTTCGGGCCCATACTTCCGAGACTGTCTACCTTTTCACGGACGCTTCCCAAGAGGGAGTCAGGGGACAAGAGATGGGCTTGGGATCAGTCCTCATGAATCAAGAGGGCCATATCTTGGCGTGGTTCGGAGTCCTTTTGCCGCTCTCTCTTGCGGAAACCTTGATGTCAAACAAACAGAAGGTGATCAACGAGCTCGAGAGCTTAGTGGTGCTTCTATCATATGCTCTTTGCAAACCACTCTTACAAGAGAGACAGGTCATGAGTTACATTGACAACGAAGCTGCACGTGTGACCCTGCTCAGGATGTCCTCTGAGTCGCAAGCCTTGACTTTGCTTGCCAGTGCTTGTGCAGTACTCGAGGACCAGCTGGCCATGGTACCCTGGTATGCCCGAGTGCCAAGTAGGTCGAACATTGCAGACAAACCATCCAGGCTCGACTTCACAGGCCTTCGACCCGATGCGCGTATCCCGGATACGCGTGTGATCGAACAGGGCCGCGAGATCATCGACAGCATTCAGAAAACTCTCGGGAGAAACCCTGACTGACCAAGGAAGGGTATATGCCTCCCCCTCAGACCAAGAGTGGGTTCATTCGGCTCTTTCACCTCTTAGCAGCTCGGACAGGAAAGCTCAAAGACAGAAGCTCAGTGACTGGCAAATCCCCTTCCTTGGAAAAGAAACCGATGAGATTGGTAGCTTGCGTCAGTTGCGTGTAGGAGCAAGTGGCATGCAGTGAGTTTGGAACATGTTGCATCAGCAGAAACGCATGTCAGTCTTGGCTTGAGCCTGAACATGAATTCATGTCACGGGAGCTGAGTTTTGTTCTCTTTAGAAACATTTTTTATGCGGAAAATAAGGTAGTCGTGCTGTAAGTACAAACCTTTATTTTCGGGAGAAAAATTTGCGAATCTTTATGATGAGAAAATTTCGGCTTGCAGAACCTACACATCCCAAAGACTGGGAGTGGAAAATTTTTCTTGCCCGCCCACCCACGCCTGAGGAACGAATGGCCAAGATTTTGGTGGACCTTCTCAGCTTACCTGAGGTGTGGGTCTGCGTTGCAGATTGCCTACGGGTCAGGCGTCAGCGTCGCCTGAGAGTTGCCTGCCACCTGTTCAACGAACGTTTCAGGCGGCTGTTTCAGGCAAGCGGCTACACGGACAGTGAGGATTACAGCATCGAGGATGACGAAGATCCCTGAGACTCTGGCGTCCGGCACGGCTCCGAGTCCTTTCGTTGGTACTTGCTCGTTTTGCTCCGACAGGACGTTCGATAAGGCTATTCTGAGAGGTAGTGAGATTGAAATCAGTTCTCACCAGATTGCCAAAGGGTTCATTCGGCTCTTTCACCTCTTAGCAGCTCGGACAGGAAAGCTCAAAGACAGCAGCTCAGTGACTGGCAAATCCCCTTCCTTGGAAAAGAAACCGATGAGATTGGTAGCTTGCGTCAGTTGCGTGTAGGAGCAAGTGGCATGCAGTGAGTTTGGAACATGTTGCATCAGCAGAAACGCATGTCAGTCTTGGCTTGAGCCTGAACATGAATTCATGTCACGGGAGCTGAGTTTTGTTCTCTTTAGAAACATTTTTATGCGGAAAATAATGCAAGAGAGACACATCATGACTTACATTGACAACGAAGCTGCACGTGTGACTCTGCTCAGGATGTCCTCTGAGTCGCAAGCCTTGACTTTGCTTGCCAGTGCCTGTGCAGTGCTCGAGGACCAGCTGGCCATGGTGCCCTGGTACGCCCGAGTGCCGAGCAGATCGAACATCGCAGACAAGCCATCCCAGCCAGGCCAGCAGCAGCAAAACAGGGTTCGAGGGCAGCCGCTCCTTTTAGTTCGCCTGCTCGGACCTCTAGCCCTGCACATCGGACTGCACACTTTCGTCCTGAGCCTGGTTACCGCCGCCGCTCGTCTCGTTCAGCACTTGCACTGTGTTTTCTGTTCGATAGCGAGCTACATTCATTATACTAGCCGGAGTCCCAGCCCGGCCTCAGGCCCACACGGAGAGACCTGCAAACATGACAGAGATGTTTCGAGCTGCCCCGGTCCCAAATCCGGGGACAACTTCCCTAGAACACGACCACGTAGACTTCAGGAAACGCGTTGGCGTCGGCGACTGCTCTTCGGGGCTCTCGTCTTAGCCCAGCTTCAGACGGCCAGGGGAGTTGGAGAATCGAGGGTTGAGACCCACACCAGCGGGGTCTCGGGAACGGGATGTTCACCACCAGGTCTTACAACACCGACCCGTGAAGGCGCTGGCACAGCTACTTCAGGCATTGCCCGACCCTCAGATGCTCTTGTGTACCCGTGGAGTGCTAAAAGAGCATATCGTCGAGCTCGCGCACGAGCTGCTAACGGCCCTACCATGTACAGAGGTTCCCTGTGCAGTGCCAGTGAATTACAAGCACAGTACGGTAAACCCCCGCGCAAGCCCAGATCTACATCCGCTGCACAACATGGGAGCTTAGACCGGCCCCAAACCACCGCCAGGCACCCGGCCACTCGGGTTCAGGTTCTCACATTCAACGTGTCCGGCTTGTCCAGTGCAATGTGGCAGGAAATGCAGGCCTGGCTCAGCACGGCCGAAGCACTACGATTTGACATTATTCTCCTGCAAGAGACTCACTGGACCAGCTGGTCCGACTTCACCTCAGGGAAGTGGCACTGTGTAGGTACACCCATTGCTGACAAAGACAAGTGCTCAGGTCTGGCGACACTCGTGCACTCTAGGCTGGGCCCCGCCGAAGCCATACAATGCAAGACATACCTGAAGGGTCGGGTCCACCACACCAGGATCCATCAGCAATTCGGCGCGATAGACGTTATAAACGTCTATCAGCATGTCTGGCGCAGCCAACACACTGTGGCCCAGAACCAAGCAGCCAGGACCTCAGTGCATCGAGCGATTGGGCTAGCCCTGGGCTCCTGTCCCTTACGACACACATGCATTCTAGGGGGGGAATTGAATGCAGAGGTCAGCGAACTCTCGCCATATGTCGGCAGAGCTCTTCTGAAAAAGAAGGGACAAGGCGGAGACAAAGATGCAGGAGAGGGCCTGCAGGAGCTCTTGCAAACCCATGGGCTCTGTCTCCTGAACACTTGGCACGGCAGGAAAAAGGCCACCAACCTAACAAGTGGAGCCCTCAGCCAGATTGATTTCGTTGCCGTTCGCGTACAGTGGGCAGATCGATTGGCCAAGCAGAGTGACTCTCTGCCAGAATGCCCCGTTGGGGCCTGGAAAGCCAATCGACACTTCCCCGTTCAGGCCTCAATCAAATTGGTGTCGCCATGGCACTTGATTCGGAAGCCGAAACCTGCTAGTGCACTTATAGATAAGACTGCTATGCAGGACTCGATTGCCAGGCAGGACCCCCGGGCCCAACAACGCAGATCCCAAGTGGCACATGACCTATCTCAACTGCCGAGTACCTTGAACCCAGGTGAACTAACGGTCTAGGTGGATAGTATCTTGATTCGGCATGCAGAGCAGATATACCCAGCCCGCGGCCGTGAGGACCGACGCGTCAGCCAAGACCCTCAATTCACTCTTCAAACAAGCGAGCTCTGGAGTCTATACAGGTCGTATCGATCCATCGGCCGGTGCACCCGACAGAATATCCTCCGCAAATGGCGATTATGGATCCAATTTCGGCGAACATCCAAACAGCTGCGGGACCGCGCCAAGGCTATCAAGCGACAGCAAATCCAAGACACCATGTGTGAACTGGAGCAGGCTGCCCAACGCGGGGACCAAGGACGTACCTACGCTGCTGTTCGCAGGCTGGCTCCTTGGAAACCAGCGGCAAAGCCTAGAATACGTGGACCGTCAGGCGAGCTCCTCACGCCGGCACTCCAGTTGCGAGCCCTGACGGCGCATGCCCAGGACAAATTCTGCAACTGACTACCGACCGACAGGCGTGCTCCTGGAGGGTATCGCCGTCACAACCGATCAACTGCAGTCTGCCCTTCGCAAGTTGCCGATTCGGAAGGCAGCGCCACCGGGAGCGGCACCGTCTGCTCTTTGGAAAAACAGCACCGAAGACCTCGCTGAGACCTTCCTTAACCCGGTCACCAACATGTGGCGCTCAGGTCAAACCGGGCGTGCTCCTTCCATATGGAAAGACGCCAACATGGTGTGGATGCCGAAGCCCAACAAAGATCCTAGCCTGCTAACTAACCGAAGACCCATTGGGTTGGTTCACCCCATGGGGAAATCTATCTGCACCCTGCTCAGGTCCCGACTGCAGCCCATCCTCACGCAGGCCTTGATTACGCGCCCACAGTTCGCGTACGCCAAAGGGCGGTCCACCCTGGACGCCCTGCTGCGGACACATGGGCACCTCACTCGGACACGCCAGGAGATCGAGGCTCAGCGCACATCAATTTATGCAAGACATTCAGGCCAGGAGCCCAAATCTTGCTTTGGTGGCATTTGCTTTAGCTTAGATCTTAAAGGTGCCTTTGATGCTGTTCCTAGGCACAGGTTGGCAGAGAGTTTGTTTAGACTGCAGGTGGAGCCGGATCTAGTACACCTCATCATGCAACAGCAGCACCAATCTCAGTATTGGACACGGATCGGCGCCGACACCCGGCCCGTAATGCCCACCCAAGGCATAAAACAAGGCTGCAACATAGCGCCCTATCTGTTCATCGCGTACACCATCCTGCTTATAGACAAAATTTGCGAGAGTACGCCAGACCGATGGACTGAGGACGGACTTACCTGGTACGCGGATGATGCTTTCGCAGCATGGTCAATCCAGGATGAAGCTGGCCTTCGCCAGTCGCTCTGTGACATTCAAATCATCATTGCAGTCCTTGAAGAACATGGCATGGCGATCGAACCAAGCAAGTGTGCTGTATTGTACAACCTACAAGGCAAAGATGCCGAGAAAATCCTGAGGCATGTTAAGGTGAGGCGCAATGAGCAAACATACCTTCAAGCCCGGGAGTCTCCTGAGACACTGGTGCCTATCAAGAAACAACATGAATACCTAGGTACGATCCTGGCCTACAGAGACCCACAGACACTCACCCTGCATCACAGGCTGGGCAAGGCCCGAGGTCAGTATGCGTTGCTGAGGAAAACACTGCATGCCAAGAGGCTTATCTCGCGCAAACACCGCTATCGCATCTGGAAGGCTGGCGTCCAGGCCAGCGCGTGCTACGGGTTGCTTGCAACCGGCCTCACCGTCACAGGCCGGACGCAACTTCTCGCCATGTCGGCGAGGCAGCTCAGGTCAATCGCAGGTCGCCCAGCACATTTAACACATGAATCCAACGCTGAGATTATGTGGACTTTTGACAACATGTACACGCCTCATTTTCCGGCTAGGTTTTGTAACCACGTGAACCTTTTCCACATGTCATGTGTCAGGAGTGCATATGGCATGGAACCGTACCGCAGGCTCTTAGCTGCTTGGAAAAGACCGTTCTTTTGTTCATGGTAGCGGAGCTGGTCTGTACCAGCTTCGGTCCACGGGGGTTGCGTTTAGGTTTCTGTGTTAGCAGGGGCCATCGATCTGTGAACCTTTAGGACTTT